GAATATGAATCATGCAGATCTGGAATCAAATCTAGGTGGTGGGGTAAACATTCCTCCCCAGGGAAAATTTCGATTTCTAGATGGCGGGCAATGAGCTTTCCGACTTCTGAGGTGTCTTTTAATTACTTTTATGTTCGTCAAAATTCAAGGTTTTCCCATCTTGAAAACGGTCTGGTAATTTTTTCCCATTGTTATTACAGTAAATAGGGCTTATGTGTGTATACATATATAAAAATTTAAAAAAAATGAGTAGTTGCATACGAATTGTCCATGAATCGATGAATCCCAAAAAGAAAGGGGGGTTTAATAATGGTACTGTTAGGAACTATAAAGAACCATATCTAAACTTCATAATACAATATAGTTTAAATATGATGATGTTTCAAAATTGAATTTTCTGTAGTATTTAAAATGTATTTATTTTATTGTTTCCATATTTATAGTTCTATTATTATTTTTCTTGTATTTTAGTATTCTCATTTGGGGACCACGGTGGAAATAAGTTGCTTTTTGTACTTTCCTGTGTTTTTGTCCTTAAATGTTTTCCCATTCAATATCCTTTTTAATGTTTTTATATAATTTTGATGCCTTTTGTATGTGTCTGTGTGTATATTTGTACATGCCAATGTGGAAAAGCAAATATATAATCTCTATTTATACCATTAAAGATTATTTATTCCAATAATTAAACTTGAGTAATTCTTGTGGCCATTTTCACCTAATATCCTGGACGCACCCACCTGTGTAGCAGATTGTGAATTCCAAAGAACTGCTTGACATGAGTTGACGACGAATATTGTGGACAAGCTGTATTTTAGCAAAAAAAAAACAAAAAAAAAAAAAACGCCAATGTTTTACGATTATAGGGTATATTTGTGATGTACGTATCAACAAAACGAGGTAGGCCTATGTATTGTATGTGTTAAAATAAAACAATTGCAATTTGTGTTACTTTTAAGTTCCGTTATCAAAAAATGTGAGTCGGTTTCTTTGTAGTTGTGCATGACATGGTGGAAATAGATTCAGGCGGATTAACGCGGCTTGTTTTGAAAAGCCTAAGGCCTGTGCATTTTATATACTAGTACACGCTGATGAAAATTAATTTGCAAAATCATGTTAGACTAATAATATTTTCTTATTTTTATAGTACAAGGATATTTTATTTATTTATTCTGTCTTTTTACTGCACTTTCAGTACTTGTGTACTGTTTTTCAAAGTCGTACAGTTGCATAATCAAATTTTGTTGCATAACAAATATTGAAATGAAATGCAAGTAACATAAACATTCCTAAATATATATACAATACAAATAATTATAGAATTAAGAAAGTTTTTAAAAGATAAAATAGTCATGTATATAGGTGTGTACCGGTATATGTACGTTGCATACATATTCTTTTTTCCACAAATCGATAAACCCCAAAAATAAAAAAATGGTCTGGATCCCACTCTCCCCCTATAAAATTTTGATTCCTAGATGGTGGGAAATGAGCTTTCCTGACTTCTAATCTTCTTTTTCTTCTTCTTCTTCAAAAAAAAAAATAAAAAAAAATAACGGGTCCTGAAACGGTAGACCTAGAAGTTTTTATTTATTTTTTTATATTTTGGCTAAGGGAGGGGGATCATGACCCGCCAATGTGAATTGCGAGACAATGTAACAAGGTTGGGGACTGGATAAACACTCTTTCCGCAAGATCTCCTCCTTCTTTCCTCTTTCTTTTATTGCAATTCTTTCTGATCATACAAAAATCTCCATAAACATTATATATTTTCTGTCAAAAAGTGGGGGCCCCGGTCCCCGGTTGCGCCAGGCATGTCTTACATAAAACGGCCATGGAGGTCTGAGATAATGCTTAACTGTAGTGGTGGACCTTCCCTATTTCTACCCTATAAAATAAAAAACAAAAATAAAGAAAGTCCAATGAATCTTCCGACTGATGATATAATTTCTTCGTTCCTTAAAATTATCATGTCTCAACCAATACTGTTTCTTGTTCATATCTTTTTTTTTTGGCAGATGAAGCAACAGAGCATGACCCATGAGGCAAGTCCTGAAAAGTGTACTGAAGTTTTGTTTGAACATTTGCTGATTTAGTGCGATAATCCTGGTAAAGGAAGGTATAGGAGCAACCAGTCAATGTTAAAGTGTCAAAGCATATGGAATCATGCCTGTTTGACAAGGGTGCATATTAATGCGGCAATACAATACTGTTTGTGAGAATTATATTTGATGGTGTCTGGAAAAAAAATAAAACAATTGAAAAGCATCACAGTAGGCCTACTTGCTGCTACTTGGAAATTGGACTCTTGCAAGATTTCTTTTGCTTAAATCAGATTCAACACAAAGCCACTATAGCGTAAGCTCAGTTGTTCAATTCCTACCCAAATGACTTTGTATTTGCAAGTATTATAGAACATGCTGAGCATTCAGTATGATGAACTAAAACATTCCTAACATAAAAAAAAACAGCATTGAATGGCATTAGAGTACTCAGTGGTACATGGAAATGGGACTTACACACCAGATAACTAACCTGGTGCTTAACCACTACAACACTGAACTTGCGCTTTACCAAATCAGTATTTGTGAAAATCACTGAGAATACAAAAACAATATCTGTATTTTTTTTTTTTTTTTTGCAGACAGACAATTCTCTGCAAGATGATAAGTAACTTTTGATATACATCAAAGAATTAATAATACTGTAAGTATTAAGTGAAATATACTGAAGCTTTATGAGATTATTAACTTTATTATTACTGTACCTTTAATTTTGTTTAATTCGTGTTTGTGTCTATTTTTTTTTTTTTTTTTTTTTTTTTGTATTTTTGGTGGATGCAGCAACACAGTTTCAAGACAGGAAAAGTACTGCTGCAGAGGAAGACAAGGAAGAGAAACCTATTATAATTAATTTTGTCTAATATAGGAAATTTAATTTAATTTAGTTAATTTAATTTGTCATGCCTAATACAATACAGAAGTTTTGCTAACATCTTGCTGAATATTGTGATGCCGTAATCCCGGCGAAAGCGAATGTATTATTTGTTGTGGTTGTATTATTTGTTGCAGCATTAAGACAACAATTGCTTAATTCTGAAAAAAACTGAGTATATTGTACAGAAGATATAAACTCACTAATTACAATCAGACCAGAGAACCAGAAAAACTACTATGATTACTAGCAGAGCATTTTAACTTTCTATATAATGAATTGTTGATGCCTAATAATTTACATTATGTGATTTTGGTTATGAAGATAATAAAAAATATAAGTAGTGTGTTGACTTTTCTTTGCTGTTCAAGTCTGAAGACTAGTGGATGCAGGTAAGTTGTTGCAGCATCCTGAAAAACTGATTATTGTACAGAAGATATGAACCGACTACTGTAATTATTAAGAACCAGAAAAATACTATAACTTGCATTTTAACTTTCCATATAATGATTTGTTGATGCCTAATAATTTTCATTACGCGATTTTGGAATATGAAGATAATAAAAAAAAAATCAATAGTGTTTTGGTGTTTCTTTGCTGTTCAAGTTTGAAGACTGATGGCTTGACTGATAGATGCAGGTAAGATGAAAAAAAGCACCCTCTGATAGAAAAAGGCTAATTTTTCCCAGGTCCTTCAATTTCTATTAAAAGTGGTGCTGAAGGGTGCCCTCCAATAGAAAGCCAAAATTTCCAGGGACTCTAAAATTATTTAAAGGGTCCTGTGTGGTGCTGAAAACCGCCCTCTATAGCCATTTTAGTTTAATGTTTTTCGGTGGTTCTTATTTGTCATTAACTTAATTAATAAGGTGGTAGTGCCCTCTAATAGCCAGTTTTTATGCTATTTTGAAAAACTTGGATGTTAGAGGGCGCTTACTGCCATTGACAATAAGACACCCTAAAAAACTTTAAATTAAAATGGCTATTTAGGGCGATTTTCTTCACTCTTTTTATCAGAACCGGACAGATTATTGTGGCCAAATAACTTAGTCATATTTAGGGCCTTTTTCTATTCGAGGGCGCTTTTTTTTTTTTGCCATCCTGATTTTCATGCTCTTTCAATGCCCAAGAAGAAAAACAATACTAAACTGAATACAATGAATATTTATTTATTCAAAATACTCAACAAAATTACAATGAATATTTATTCAAAATATTTCCAAAACGATATTAAATTTAATACTTGAATTACAATGAATATTTATTCAAAATATTTCCAAAACGATACTAAATTACAAAGATATATTGCCAAATCAGCTGCCACATTCTGAAAGAATAAAGTGGAAAGGGAAAACATTTATACAACAATATTAATTATTAATATTAGTTATTAATTGAAACATTTACGCAAATTTATACAACAATTTATAAGTCCAGTGGAAAGGGAAAATATTCAAAGTTATTTTTAATTGAAACATTTATGCATCCAGTGGAAAGGGAAAATATTCAAAATCATTTTTAATTGAAACAACAATTTATAAGTCCAGAGGAAAGGGAAAATATTTAAAGTTACTTTTAATTGAAACATTTACGAAAATTAATACAATTTAAAGTTATTTGATTTACATTTAATAATAAATAATTTTAGAAACAAGTATCAAATCTGAAATCAGTGTTAGCATTTATTTATCCCACAAAATTTATAATAAGAAAATTGAGGCATGTTGTGGCAAAAATTAAAATTCAAGTTATTGGTATTTTCAGATACCTGAGTATGTGATCTTTAAAATGAGGGGTCATTCATTGAAATTGGACATTTGAAGCCTAAGTTATTGGAAAAAGATAAACATGATTTTGAGTAATTGCCTTTCAAAGTTAATTGTGCATACACTGTTTAATAGAATTAACTATCAAAATAACATTTAAACGATTTGTTGACCACTTTCAGAACATGATTAACAAGACATTAAACTGTTGATTTGTAGTGAAAAACAAATTTGGATTTTTAGGCAATTTTTTTAGCTCCCATATTTTAAAAGCTCATTTACTCAATACTGGCCTGTACGACAACTTAACCAAATTTTCGCTACGACATGCCTCAATTCACAAAGTTTTTCTAGCAAACTCACCATTCAGTAGAGGAAGCAAAATTCGCCATTCAGCCAAGCAGGGCTGGTCCACTTGTTGCAGAGATGCAATGTCTAAATTTTCTTCAGAATTTCTATAGTAAAATAAATTGTATTAATTAGATTTAGGATGAGAAAATACAAATGCACCATAAATATTAAAATGTTTAATTGTTAATTTAATTATTATAATTCTAGAATAAAATTGGCAAAATAATTAAATTTTAATTTTATGAGCTATTAATCATAACATAATTAAATATTACATGCAGAATAAAAATGATAGTATGCATTTTATATACTGTATATTAATGCTTGCAATACACAACAAAGATAGTTCTGGAAAGAACTATAGTTGGTTGAGAATGCAGGGCTGGTGGAACATTTTCAAAGTGTGAGGGGCCCCCAACTAGTACAATGGATGGGAATACGAATCAAGGGGATCTGGCTTCAAATGTAGGGGGTGGGGGTCATAATTTTCCCCAAAAAAGAAGACAGTTCGAGGATCCTCAAATTTTGATTCCTAGAGGCTGGGAAATGAGCTTTCCCAACTTTTGAGCTGGGTGAATCGTAATGACAAGTTCTTCAAAATTCAAGGTTTCCCCCTCTTGAAAACGGTTAGCTCAATGTTCTCATTCTTATTACATTAAAAGGGCCTGTTATGTGTGTATACATACATAAAAAAATAGAGTAGTTGCATACGTATTCTTTTTTCCATGAATTGAAAAACCAACAAGAGAAAGGTTGATCTGGGGATTTCCCCAAGGAAAATTTTTACTCCTAGGTGGCAGGAAATGAGCTTTTCCGACTTTTGAGGTGTCTTTTAACGACTTTTAAGTACTCTAAAATTCAAGGTTCCCTCCTCTTGAAAATGATTCCATGAATCAATGAACCCCAACGTGAGGGGGATTCAGGTCCTCCCTGGAAAAGTGTTGATTTCTAAATGGCAAGAAATGAACGTTCACGACTTCTGAAGTTCTTTAAAATTCAAGGTTTTCCCCTCTTGAAAATGGTCAGGTTAAGTTTTCTCATTCTTTAACAGTACTGTAAGTGTATACATAAAAAAAATGAGTTGCATACTATTTCTTTTTTCCAAGTATCGATAAACCTAAAAAATAAAGGGGGTGCGAGACTTCTCCCCTTGGAAAATTTTGATTCCTAGATGGCAGGAAATGAGCTTTCCCGACTTGTGAGGTGTCTTTTATTGACTTTGTGTGTTTGTGTTTGAATTATCTCGAGAAACGGCTGCACAGACATAATTAAAAATAACAGGGAGTATTAGGCATAACCCAATGAAAAAATAACGGTCCAGAGTAGGGTGTGGATGTGAGGACCAATTAAAGGATTTTAGAGCAAACGTTCTAGACAAGATATTTTAAAAAACTAATCAACTGATATGAATGAAAGTTCAACCAAGTTACAAGGAAGACATTATTAAGTGTTAAGTGACGATCAAAATTCAGGTGTGAATTTGAGGGTCATTTAAAATCCAAGGTCCCACCTAAATATCTCTAAGGATAATCAATGGATCAAAATTTTCCTTTCCACAATAATTTGTCATGTCTCAATGAAAAAAGAATATGGATATGAGAAACATTCAAATGAAAACGTCCCAGACCAGATATTTAAAAAACTAATAAAATGATCTGATAGACATTTTCGTGAAAGTTCAATCAAGTTACAAGGAAAATAAATTTGAATTGTTGGTGACTATCCAAAGTCGGGTGTGCATGGAGGCCAGATTCCACGCCTAAATATCTCTAGGACCATTTAAAAAAATAGGTTTACTGGAATACTGTAGGGATAAACAATAGTTATGTGATGAATATCTATGAGTGCAATTACAGTAAAGCTGTACAGCGTTTTATTACTGACTTCACTTTTTCAGAACTGATTGGGAATTAATGTTTACATGTATACAATGTGAGGCTAAAAACCAAACCCCCATATTTATATTAGCATAATATTTCCATTTGAACACTAATACATGGTATGTATTTTTTTGTCAGGTATAAGAGAGTGACGTTCCAGTGTGTTAAAGCCAGAAGATGTAAAGCATTGGCAGGTGTACAACTGATACAATAAAAGGCATTTGAAAAATAAAATTGAGTGATTAAATTTTGGTATGGATGTGAATATATGGACTATTCAAAGCAAAATGTCCCAGATCAGATCCCAAAAAGTAATCAACTGATTTGAATGCAACTTTGTGTTCAAGTGTAATTTTTTTTAAGTAGATGGTGGTTGGTGGTTCGAAAGTAGGATCATACTTTTTAGGGATTTATTTTTGAGAAAGGGATTTGCAGTAGTTGGAGATATGCTCTCTACGCAGTGCTTTTGTTATTATTGTTATTATTATTATTAAAATATATTATTATTATCATTATTATTTATACACTTTAAAAATGATAGGTCAGTTACTGAAATTTATTTACTATTGCCAAAGTTATGAGTATAAGTATTACGGTTTCTCTGAACTAAAGCATACAATACACATATAACATATCAGTTTACTCAGTTTAAATTAACATATTTGACAGTATGCCGATTTTAGGATAGTGAGCCTTCAATAGCAAACGCTTTGGGTACTTTATAGTTATACTGAGGAAAGAACATTCAGTACAGAATAAATTTTGAATTCAGTTTGTTTGGCCTTTGATACCACTCTACTAATATAAATGGTATCAGTACCTGGTAGGATAGCCTGCTCCTGCGCCAATTACCAGCAACCACACTTAAAGCATGTGGATCCAATGATCAGGGAAAATAATTGCCCTTTACAGTATAACCTCAAGGATAAGGTGCATCATAAATGCCCGTACCAGTATCAGATTTTTACGAATTACTCATTACGAATTGAAAGCCTAAATTAGGATTGCCCAAATAAATTCAAATTGTGTTCATTAGCAGATAATTTATTACCAAATAGCCTAACCTATTATGTATACAATAAATACCATTTAAATTGTTAAATTTTGAATATTTTCTAAATTATTTATTTGTAAGTTTGTCCATGAATTAAGAGAAGGGGCATTCCACAGTATTTTTTTGTCAAGGACATTACAATTTAGAGAATTTGTAATGCTATATCTAGTAAAAACCAGTCAAGGAAAACACTATATTTTTGGGTCAATTATTGCTTGTAGACTGAAGTTTAAGTAGGTAAAAAAAAAAAATGAAAAAAAAAAAATTACAGCGTGACTGTAAAAACAAAATATATCCGCGTCACGGACATTACAGGATTGCGACATGACTTTTGACAGCATAAATATAAATTAAAAGTTCTGGGCTGTTTTTGAAAGAATTAAATATTCCTTCATACATCACATATTTAGGTAGTTGTTCTTGTCATATCAACAACAAAAAAAAAAATTAAAAAATATGATATTTTATTATATATAGGCAATTGGGTCATGGACATTACATTTGTCCATAATGTTACATATTTTCGGTAACATGTAAATATATTAAAAGAATGTTTACACCTAATTTTATATCAGCGATAACTTTTTACATACCGGTATTTTAATTTAACAGTTTAATAAGATAGTCCATAAGTCTAAATACATACAATAGTATAGAATGATCTAAAATTTAGTTATAGTTTTAAAAATGCATTTTCATGAAGAATAATGGGAACAAAATTAACACATAAATCAATTTTCTTTAGAGTAGTTACTGTACCTCCTAATTATTGACAGTGAATCTGTTGAGAATTATTAGCAATGAGTTTAATAGAGGGATTTAGCGATGATTGTTTACAGGCGGTCACATGACCTAACTTGGGTAAATGTAAAACATTATGGTTGTGAAAACAACACCCACTATTATCGTGAGAAATAAATGGCTAGGAAAGGCAATACGGTTGTTTAAAATAGCGTTTATTTATTTATCCTCCTTGCAATGTATGCTTTGAAATTTAAGTGATCATTCATAAACCTAAGCTGCTAACATCGCAGCATAGTCCGCGGGTCGAAGACCAACATGCATCACTTATTGTAACCATGCCGTAGATGCGCAGGGGCCTAGGCCTAACATTTGTCGAAAAATCTCAATACCAGTATCTTTACAGCATTAGCAAAACATTAAAGCAAAATTCTTAGTTTAATTTCCAATCAATTTGGCAATTTGGTATAGTTTACTGGTAATCATGATGATACAGTAATAAACAAGGCGCGATTGAAATCTCCATGTAAAACACCGCTGGGTCAGTGGATGGTTTATATCCAACATTCAAGGTCACGTTACCCCCATCACTAATTCCCTCTATTAGCTTCAATATCCACATCAAACACATACTACCCCTTGCTTCCAAAAGTGGCATAGGAGTTTCCCCTTCACCCTATCCTTATCTGCCCATGATACGTCAGGTACACTTGGGAATGTAAATGTTTTCTTATTTATGTTGCTTCTTAAAAAGCTACTGTGTAGTAACTCTAATTCATATAGGTCAGCATTTCAAATTTGACCAAAGAAAGTATGCACATCTTTTTTAGTTGGAAATTCAACAAGTACAATATAAATAAATTACAAAACATAACCGGTTTTTGGCTACCAGCTCCATCTGACCATTTGGTTTTAGTTCCCTGCAAACGCCCGCTAATTAAAATCTCAATTGCACTAAAATTATTATTGTTGTTAAATTCATTGGGTTAGATTATTTATTATATTTATTAAATTATTATATTTATGAGGATTTTAAAAGCTTTGCTGTTGCTATTTAGAAAATGAATAAATTATTATTATAATTAATAATTTATTTTACTCCCCCTAAATGTATTTTAATTATCCTGTTTTAACCAGAGCATAACACATATTTATTATTTTATTATAATATTTTCCAAGTTAAACTGTAAGTAATAAAAAAAAAAGTTTCAATTCAGTGGTGCAAGCACCTTTTATTCTACAACAGCACAGATTAATACTTAAATATTGAGAAAAAAAAAATATATATCATACATAAAAGTATAAGCTGTTGTAAGGATCCCAGTCTAGAAGGAAAAAACCTTGTCTCAAGAGGATCCGTAAAAAAGGAAAAAGAATAAAATAATAAAAAAAAAATAAATAAATAAAATAAATAAATAAATGAATAAGATATTTAAATAAATAAATAAATAATTTGATAAACAAGATAAATTAAAGATGTACAGAAATAAACAGAATTCAGTTTAGGTACAGACTTAGATAATGCAATTTTAGATTTCTTTTAAAAGATGAAAGGCTAGTAAAATTGGTAGGGTCAATTTGGAGGTTATTCCACAACTGTGGTCCTGCAACCGTCACAAACAACTGACTTTTATTGAGCCTTACAAATGGAATGTATAGCTTGCCAGTATTTCTTAAATTATATTGAGTGGTATAGCTGTTGCTGCTGAACATTAGGTTAATGGTTTTTGGAAGTGTGCCTTTAAGTAGTTCATACATGAATTTTGTAATTTGCAATTTATGCAAATCATAAATTTTGAGCAGTTGAAGTTTTTTAAAAAGTGGCTCTGAAGGTGCTAAGTAGTGTGATTTAGTGATGACCCTTAAAGCGCATTTTTGTAGTTTCAGAAGGTTGTTGAGATTAGAACGATAGTCAGATGCCAAAATTATGTTACAATATTGAAGGTATAGGAGCCCAAGAGTGTTATAAAGTGAAGTTAAAATGTTTAATGGAAAGAACAATTTTAATTTATTTATTATGCTAATAGATTTAGATATTTTGTTAGAAATGTAATTTTGATGAGTGGTCCATTTTAGATTTTCCTGGACGTAAAGCCCAAGAAAAAGTGTCTCGCTTTTGCGTTCAATATACAGTAAGTACCTCGAAAACATATATTAAAATTTTGAAGAGTTGGCTTTTTATGAACATTATGAAAAATAATGTAATTTGTTTTGAGAGTATTAATAAAAAGTTTATTGGGAATGAACCAGTCACCAAATTTTAGCAATTCTTCATTAATAATATTAAATAGCGTGTGTAGATTTGGATTAGAATAAAAGAGAGTAGTATCGTCGGCGAAGGAGACCACCTGCAGTACAGTATATCACTAACCCGAGTCAAGCCATTAACATAATAAGAAATCATTATTATTATCTATGCCATGAGATGTTTCAGTCATGAAAAGCTTGTGGATGTGTGTGTGTATGTGTGTAACATCTTCGTGTTTTGCATGTTTTTTTGTGTGCAACATATCTTAAGAAAAGGCTGCACATACTGTACATAAGTGAAAATAACAGGGAGTGAGGTATAACTCAATGAAGAAATTATTAAATTTTGGTGATTGTCCGGAGTAGGGTGTGGATGTGAGGACCAATAAAAGGACTTTAGAGCAAACGTTCTAGACAAAATATTTTAAAAAACTAATCAACTGATATGAATGAAAGTTTAACCAAGTTGCAAGGAAGATATTATTAAGTGTTGATGACGATTCAAATTTGGGTGCGAATTTGAGGGTCATTTAAAATGTCCAAGACCTAAACATGGCAGAAACAACAGATAATGAATATTTAAATTAGTGCAATTACAGTAAAGGTATACAGCGTTTTATATACTACTTTACTTTTTCCAGTACTGATTGGGAATATTTTTAATGCATCTTAACATTTAAACATGTGACGCTAAAAACCAAATCCTCATTTTTCTATTTGCATAATATTTCCATTTCGACACCAATACATGGCAGGTATTTTTTTGTCAGCTATAAGAGTAAAACGTGCCAGTGTGTTAAGCCAGAAGATGTAAGGAATAGGCAGGTGTACAACTGACGCAATGAAAAGCGTGCGGAAAATGCTTAAACTTTGATGTCGATATAGGACCATTTAACGTAAAACGTCTGATCTGAATGAAAATTTTGTGTTAGTGTAATTTTTGAGGATTTATTTTATAGAAAGAGATTGGTGGTGGGCAGAGTTGCTCTCTACTGAGTGCTGCTGTTATTATATTATCATTATTGCCTTTTCCCAGCAGTAGCTAGAAAAGCCATTGTTTTTGTTCTGATTTTTTTCCCCCTATCTTTTTTCACTGGGTTTTTCCCCCTCAGGACTTCCCATGCTTGGAACTTTTCCATGACTTGTCGAAGCATAGACCATACATTAAGGATGTGCCTCCTAATATTTAGTGTTAATCTAAAGTGGGGTGTGGATGTGAGGACCAATTAATGTGATTTAAGGGCAAACCGTCTACACCAGATATTTAAAAAAACGGGTCATTTGAACTTTGAATGAAACTTTTGGGAAATTAACCAAGTTACAAGGAAGAAATTATGTGTTGGGAGACAATCTAGTTTAGGGTGTAAATTTGAGGGTCATTTACTGTCAGGTCCAAGACCTACAGTAAATATCAATGGGTATGATTCAAACATTGTATAACAGTTTGTCAAGGTCTAGTAAAGAAATGATTAAATGTTTGTGACAATCCAGAGTAGGTTGTGGATATGTGGACCATTCAAATGAAAACATCCCAGACCAGATATTTCACACTAACAGATCAAATGATTTGTTTCTGGAAAGTTAAAAGGAAGATACTATTATGTGTGGGGGAAGAACCAGGTTAGGGTGTAAATTTAAGGGTTATTTAATTGCATACATCCCAGATATAATTGATCTAGTAAAGAAATGATTAAATGTTTGTGACAATCCAGAGTAGGTTGTGAATATGTGGACCATTCAAATGAAAACATCCCAGACCAGATATTTCACACTATGATCAAATGATTTGTTTCTGGAAAGTTAAAAGGAAGATATTATTATGTGTGGGGGACGAACCAGGTTAGGGTGTAAATTTAAAGGTTATTTAATTGCATACATCCCAGATATAATTGGATGAAAATGAAACTTTGCAGAATAGTTTGTCATGGTCAAATAAAAAAATTGTCAAATTTTAGTGACGATCCGCAGGAGGGTATGGATATGAGGACCATTCAAAGGAAAACGTCCCGGACCAGATATTTCGAAAACGGATCAACTGATCTAAATGAAACATACGGTAAAGTTTAACAAAGTTACAAGTAAGAAATTATTATGTGTTGGGCATGATCCACTTTAGGGTGTAAATGTGAGGGTCATTCAAATTTCTGATGTCCCAAACATAAATATCTCTCAAAACTTGTTAATGGGTCTAAATGTTCATTTTTCTGGAATAGTTTGTCAAGGTCAATATTTATTAGAAAACCACTTTATATAGTTTTGTTAATTGTTTTGTCATTAATGACATAAATGAAATAATATTATTATGTTGATCTCTCCAATTGTATTACCCTGTTAATTATATTAATTTCAATTAAAAACTTTTTTCATGAAAATTTTATTTTAATTTATTTTAAAATAATTTAATTAGAATTTTTATGTTCTAATATTGAAATTGTAATGTTTATTCTTAGTGATGAATCAGGTCGAACGTTATCCCACAAAGCTTTTACAACAGACAAGAAATTCATAAGAACAAGTTTTTTCACTCACCATTCAGCAGAATTAACGAGCACAAAACAAAAAAGCAACATTATAGCCATTGAGATGAGCAGGATGAGTCCACTGGTTTGCTGAAATCTTTGCAATGTTGAGCCTTCTACAAAATTTTTACTGAAATAAAATACATACAATACATTCATTAAAAAACCAGAATTAGGAAAAGAATTTACAAACATTAAATGTAAATTTTAATTCTAGAATAATACTTGTCCATAGCATATAAAAACATTATTTTAATATTATTATTACTATAATCATTATTTAATTCCAACATTAGGTCAAATAATGAAATTTTATGTTAATCATAATTGTAATTAGAATCAACAAGAATCATATAAATGTATTTCATATTAATATATATTTAGGCGCGATCGCCAAATTATTCCAGAAGACAAATCTGTGTTTAGATGTGCTTTCCATTGTTCTACCAAAATGCGTCTAAAAACACTGTTTGAATAGTGCATCGTTTAGACGCCGATATTCCGTTTTGGCCTTTGCTCCTCCCCTTTAACTATGACTGACTGGATGCACCGTAAAACGCGTCCAATTATTATTAATTATTATTATTATAGACAACTCTCTAAAATGAATCATAATACGCCTGACTGCGCGCCGCAATACCCAAGAACTGATTTGTTTACCTGCTAGCGAACTCTCTTTGTAGGCCACCTGGGTGTGCAAGAACTGACAGAAGTAAACCAAGGGAGGTCAATGCTAAAAAAATAGTCGGTTGGGTACTGGGACGTCGTTCAGTAGGCCTAGTACTGTGCATAGGTGAGACTACAGTATCGTAATATTCAGTGATTTTACGAATTGATGAGCAAATATAACATTAAAAAATCCGATTTTTTAGTTATTTCTGACGTAGTCGCATGCCACCATCAGTTTTAAGAGTGGCAATCAGCCTCCTGTGCAGCTGTGGTAACACTCAGCACAGCAATTAATTGCTCTCCTTGCCATTGAAGAAAGGGATCACATGGTAAGACCCATGCCTCCGAAAATGTTGTCCATGATTAAAGTAGATGAAATTTTGCATTAAAGGTAAATTATATTTACATTTTATAAAACAACATTTATTAATTGAATTTACATGAATTTCATGCGAAACACAATTTTTTTTATGCCGAATCAACATATTAACATACAACATATAATTTCACGGATTTCCTGACAATATTTTCGAAAAACTCTTTCCTTCTCTTTATTATTACAAAATCAGCCTAATCGCATCACAAATGAAGGCCCTGATAGAAATCGCGTCACAAATGAAGACCCTGATAGAAAAAGAAATGACTTCAAAATTCGCTCAAAATCATAGTACAAGCCCTCTCCCTCAGGGAGTGGGCTAAAAACTGTAAAATCAAGGTGAACCTCGCACATAGTACGTTAGCAAATATGGACATTAACACTACCTGGTCTACTCTGAAATATTTATTGTGCATTCATGAAATGGATGGTTATGATTAGATGGATTGTTTGTCAAGAAGGTATAGTGATATATAAGTAAATTATGTGTTGGTCTGATTTTGACTTACTTTATGTTCCCAGGCCTATCCAAGCGGTAGAAGGTTACAACGTGCGTGATTCGCTGTGGTGGAACGCACATGCATATCTAGAAGTTGCTCTTGCTGTGGTGTCATTTCAGCAGTTTCCTGATTTTTGTAGTTTCAAGTGTCTGACAATGAATATTCATTATCATAATACATCATGATCTGGTAAATTACGCAAATGAGTCAACTAGCAAACAGCCTGTAACACAAAAATGATATTAGATTTAACCAACAAATATTAAGATTTACATTAATAAAAAAAAATGGTAAAAGTAAATGTGTAATATTAATTTAAATTAATTTTCCCTTAAATAACATTATTTCACAGGGTTTGTATTTATATATTCAACACCAACATGACTATAACAACTTGACTATGACAAATCCCAATGTAATTCTCTTCAACCTTCTTGTACAGCATTCTGATACCATGGATAATACCTCCATAATATCAGATTGAAGTTTCATGATATTGGGTAAACATATTTATGACGATTATTGCACAAGAAAAACTGTAAAATCGACATTCAATATTGTACATTCATGGAACAGATGGTTAGGATGGATTGTTTGTCAAGAAGTTTGTAACACATCCCATGTTAATACTTGTCAGTCTTGGACAGTCTTCTGAAGTTTCATAATACTGGGTAAATATAATTTATGATGATGACATTGTATTGCACAAATAAAAAAAAACTGTAAAACCGAGAAGATATGAACCACTCATATAGTACAATTTTTAATTTAAGATTGTAGGATGTTTTTAACAGCATTATTTTTATTGCCCTACATAGTGAAGAGAATGGAAAATGAAAAGAATATTTAAAACAAAAATTTTATAACAACATTTATGAAAACAAAATTGAGATTATTAACTACAGTATGGATATACTGAGCTCACTCTAACCTTTGCTTTTGATAGCCAAAGTAAAAAATCTTTTTTTTAGCCAATTGAATCTGTCTTTTGCCAAAATTTGATGAAAATTGTTTAAAAATCATTGTGAATACACCCAAAGGTGACGGAACTAGGGGGTGCTGTGTTATGGAGAGTAATGTGTGACCGGAAATGGTCTGCAGTCAGTTGGTTGTTACCTGCGCCAGTGATGCTGGAGTATATAGTACAGCAATTTGAAACTATTATTTAGGCCTAATGAATGAAAATTTCGGAGTTTGTCAGGTAGTGAAATGATTATTTCACATTTTAATAAGTGCTCCCTAAATTCATAAGTGTAAGCTAAATTACGGTGATTAATTAATTAATTATTTCGAATCCCTCTTTCCAAGAGGGGATGCAAATGCTTTGTGAAAATGAGTACGCCGCGGTACTCATTTTC